CAGGGCAGGGGCTGAGTCCCCATCCCTGGGGGTATTTAAAAGCCAGGGAGATGTGGTGCTTAGGGACATGGTTCAGTGGTGGCCTTGGCAGTGCTGGGCAAACGGTTGGACTTGATGATCTCAGAGGTCTTTTCCAACCTTAACGATTCTGTGATTGTATGTTTCTGTGACTGATAAAATCTGTTTGTTACAGAAATAAAAAAGAAAGAACCAACCACATAATCCTGCACCTGCAATGTTAGGGTCTTTTCACACTTTTTCTGCACGCTCTTCTGCAACGTCTTCAGTTTTCACTGAATTAAGCTATACTTTTCTGTTGGCAAGGTGCTGTGATGAACCAGAATGTTTGACCCATGTCCACACAAAAAAGTTAATAAAAATCCTCTGTCAGCAGCAGAAAAACAAATTCTTTTGTATCTTATCTTGAACCAACAGAAATGCGAACATCATATCCCATATGTGAGCAGCTGAAGGCTAATTTTCTATTGTTTAGACAGTGGGAGAGGAGTTTATTAAATACTAGGCATTTTATTCCACAGACATTAAATGCAAAACATGCATTAGCACAGTTATCACCCACAGAAACTTACACACCAAGAAATGCAAGAATTAAAGCCACAGTAGCAGTATCAACTCAGCTAAATCACGCTATACATTTATATACCTTCCTGTATATTACACAATGTTAAATTTTACAGTGTAAGCAGAATTATGCAGAGCTGTATTTACGTATACACGTAGAGAGATACCAGAGGTGAGAAGAATAGCCGCTGGAGAGAAATCTACAGTGAATAATTTTAATGGTATTAATGCGTATTTCTTATGTGGACAGGGCCAAATTAATGCTGCAAGCAGAAGAGCCTTGTAGGTTTTCTGGCTCCTTTTTTTCCTATTGCACAGCCTTCAGCCACTCTGAAACACGGCTGGCTCATAAGCACGATGATAATGCACATTACGAATTTAATGATGCCGTAACATCGTGAGGCTACATCTCACAAATTATTTTTCCAGTACACGTACAGTAAGTCAAATCCATTAGTAAAAAATACACACGTATACACCAATGTGTCCCAAATCCATTAGTAAAAAATATACACATATACACTAATGTATCCCAGATGCGACCACCTCACCAAGTATTTACAGCCTGTCCGTGCTGTGCAACTCAAGTAAATGTATTTCATTCATGGAAGTCTCGATTACAAATGTAACACAGTATTTTGTTCATCTTTCCCTCCTTTATTATTTCAAGATGTTTCATGGAACTTGCCTTGCACTACATGGACTGGAGCAGCAAGTGGATGAATGTCCTTTATTTGTTTTATTACCCCCATAAAAAACATAAATGGAAATGCTCCTTCTAAACAGTTATAAGCATTCTTTGATTTAAAAGTTTGTCAGTATTCAGGGGACAGACGGACCCCATAGCATCCAGAAAAGGAGTAGGTTTACAGTTTGATAAACCTTTTATATGTTTTTTTGACATTGTAACTGAAAGTAGGAAGGTACTACTATTTTTTCTTTTTTTTTCCTCTTTTTTTTTTTTTTTTTTTTTTACCATAGTAAGCCTTCTGGTTTGTGAAATCCAAAATTTCTGATTAATAAATTTCAGTAACTTGTTTTCTGATTAAAAAAAAAATAATTGCTACCTTATCAGTGTCATGCAAAATCTCAGAATTAAAGCTCACGACTCATTTGTAATTCATGATGCTTTAAAAATGTAATAGTGTATTTAACAGTAATAGTATACGATAAGAGATTGACTCAGATTTTTCTGCTGAGGAAGTCAGTGGTGATACACTGAAAAGAAGTGTACCGTGGAGCCAAAGAATTAGTGATACATGTATCGAATGTTTTGTCCTTTTTGTATTTAATGCAGTTCAAACAGCGGAATATGTTTGACATTCTGCTTTCAGACAGCTATCAAATGTCTGAATTCTCAGAGCGATTAAGCAGAAACATATTTACCGATAATTAATTTCTGCCGAGAGCGCCAGTGCCATCTTTAGCATAATTTCATTTCCTGGTCATCATAAAATATATTGTTAGACTGTAAATTTTGTCTTCTACTTTTGTTCAGTTTAAATAGTATCAGCTGTGATTTTATGCCTGACTTTTCCTAATATGTGGACTTACACGATGTATGTTTTCCTTTTTAGCTGGAGGGGTAGCGTAGAAGTTTCTACGCTGCGGTCTAAGCCACCCTTTCATTACAAAGGAAGTAAAGAGACTGTTTAAAAGTGACTGAGCTGATATTCCAAGGGCTACACAACTTTTCTATCTAGGTGAAACAGCTGGTTAAAGTTGAACAATTTAGCTGCTCTTATACATAGGCGTTGCCTATGTCGCAATGCTCAGTAACGATCCCAGCGTTGGCGAGCACGATTCATGGGTTAACTCACACTATATTTGCAGATCGGAGGCGGCACGCCTGCTGCTGGCGTTACTTGACAGCGACAGTCGCCTAGGCAGAGGAAAAGGCTTAGGACTATCGCAGTTCCTACTTAGTTTAGATTCTGAGCCCACCTCTCCTGCAGAGTCAGGAGTGTCTGGTCGGCTAGAATTTTTTACGTCAGCATTGTAAGGAGGTTGGGCTTTGTTTGCACTGAAACTGCTTTGTCTTCGGTTGCTGTTCTTCAGGAGGGAATTTGATGAAGATCCCGCGCTCTCAACCATTGCCGAGCAGTTCCAAGATGAACCGATTCCGTGTTGTCTTCTGAAACCGGGAATAGGAAAAGTTGTATCGGGTTGCAGTGAAGTTTGCGATGGCATTTCAGCAAAGCTTCTCAAGCACGTGCTTGAAGCTACATCTGCATTCTGAGCACCATCAAGGAAATACTTCTTTTCAGCTTCTTTTTGAGCATCATGTGCCTCAATCCCAAGCTTGCCAAGCA